TACCTACAGAGAGGAAAAACGCAATTCTTAGTGATTATCTGTCTACCGACTAATGATGACCGAAAAATATATTGTACATCGTATTTAAGGTACTGAACTATCAATGTAGTTGAAATCCAATACAAAAATTCAGTACCTCCTTGTTCACTTCAGAACGATGGCCGGTACTAGTTTTTCCTTTCCTCAACACAATCATGTTTACATCTACAGAATTTATTTAAAATGGAATACAATATTGGATTTTTTAGAGTTTAGAAAGTGTATAAAGTGAAATATTTATATTTATTTATAGTTATGAGTCCTACAGGTCTTAGTTTCTAAATGTTCAAGAAATCTGATATGTCGGGTACTAAAAATAAAACCATATGTTCTATTTCACCATGTTTTATATATCAGAGTACATCAAAAGACAGTAGTATTTCTATGTACTTTTATTCAATGAACAATTAAATGACAATACTTAACTTGAGAAAACGTGACAACCCTTTTTGAATAGAGTTTCAACATTTCCTTAATTTGTGTAGCCGTCATCATAATAGGCGAATAATTTGATATCTTCAACATTTCTCTCAAAAGTTGTAAGCATTAATTCAAGGTTATATTAAAATTATATGAGATATCATATTCAAAAAGGTATAATTTAATTGAGTGTTTAATATACGGGTTTTATTGTACACTTACTCGAAATTCAGAACAAATTCAGACACCCGTATGCTTAGATCATCCTACATAGTGCAGGGATACGTAAGGTACCCGTATGTAGAACACAGCACATAGCAAGGAGACAAAGTTCCTGTATGTAGAACTTCAAACAGCAAGGAAACACGGGATATTACAGCCAATAATAACATGGGATTAGAGTCAGAAACCGGTTTGTCTGGTATAACAAATAACAAATTTAACAATCGATTTGAAATAAAAAATATTTTTATAGCTATCAGAAAAACTCTCATTTAAAGTGTTAGCTTTTCTAATATCAGTTCAGCATTTCTCCTCATTGATTTGATATTAAACAAAAACCTACAAGAAATCCTTTAAGTACATTCTAGAACTTGTTTTGGATATTTGGCATGAAATCAAATAAAGTCTGGCAACAACTAATATCATATAGAATATAACACATGTATACGTAAGTCGTAACATGTGTGCTGAATAGATTGATGGGAATCAATCACAGTTATAACTAAATGTTGGTAAGTTTTAAAGACGAATGAAATAGCTGACAACAGGTCATGAACCATTCCTCACGACACCAGACGGATTACCATTAAACACGATATACATTTCACTCTACCCGACACCAGACGGATTATCATTAAACACGATATACATTTCATTCTACCCGACACCAGACGGATTACCATTAAACACGATATACATTTCACTCTACCCGACACCAGACGGATTACCATTAAACATGATATACATTTCATTCTCCAAAACACCAGACGAATTATCATTAAACACGATATACATATCATTCTCCCCAACACCAGACGGATTACCATTAAACACGATATACATTTCACTCTACCAGACACCAGACGGATTACCATAAAAACGATATATATTTCACTCTACCAACACCAGACGGATTACCATAAAACACGATATATATTTCACTCTACCCGACACTAGACGGATTACCATAAAACACGATATATATTTCACTCTACCCGACACCAGACGGATTACTATTAAACACGATATATATTTCACTCTACCAGACACCAGACGGATTACTATTAAACACGATATACATTTTATTCTCCTCAACACCAGACGGATTACCATAAAACACGATATATATTTCACTCTACCCGACACCAGATGGATTACCATAAAACACGATATATATTTCACTCTACCCGACACCAGACGGATTACTATTAAACACGATATACATTTTATTCTCCCCAACACCAGACGGATTACCATAAAACACGATATATATTTCACTCTACCCGACACCAGACGGATTACCATAAAACACGATATACATTTCACTCTACCCGACAACAGACGGATTACCATGAAACACGATATATATTTCACTCTACCCGACACCAAACGGATTACCATTAAACACGATATATATTTCACTCTACCAGACACCAGACGGATTACCATAAAACACGATATATATTTCACTCTACCCGACACCAAACGGATTACCATAAAACACGATATATATTTCACTCTACCCGACACCAGACGGATTACTATTAAACACGATATACATTTTATTCTCCCCAACACCAGACGGATTACCATAAAACACGATATATATTTCACTCTACCCGACACCAGACGGATTACTATTAAACACGATATATATTTCACTCTACCCGACACCAGACGGATTACCATAAAACACGATATATATTTCACTCTACCCGACACCAAACGGATTACCATAAAACACGATATATATTTCACTCTACCAGACACCAGACGGATTACCATAAAACACGATATATATTTCACTCTACCAGACACCAGACGGATTACCATAAAACACGATATATATTTCACTCTACCAGACACCAGACGGATTACCATAAAACACGATATATATTTCACTCTACCAGACACCAGACGGATTACCATAAAACACGATATATATTTCACTCTACCAGACACCAGACGGATTACCATAAAACACGATATATATTTCACTCTACCCGAGAGCAAACATTTAGCTGTTCAATCAGACAAACTATTGTATTACTCAATACCAGATACTTGGCTCTTCCATCAGACAAGCTATAAATTTATACTACCCGATACTAGACACTTGGCTGTTCCATCAGACAAGCTATACAAGTTATACTACCCGATACTAGACACTTGGCTCTTCCATCAGACAAGCTATACAATTTATACTACCCGATACTAGACACTTAGCTGTTCCATCAGACAAGCTATACACGTGTATCCTCAGTCCAGCTTTGGGAGAAAACTTATATTGATCTCTGACAAACGAACAGTAACATTTGCCAAGTCTTCCTAACAACCTTAAAGCATGTGAAATTGCCAATAACTTACGCCAAAATGTTCTCTTTATCACACTCAAATTATCAATATTTTGTATAAACCTGTTTCTGGTTTTCGTAATGGGGACTTTCTTCTATTCCTTTATTGCTCATTACAATGAATTTGTGGTGTATGGAGAAATATATAGTTTATGACTAGGGATTGCTGATAAAAGATTTTATTCGTGTGTATAGTAGTCAACATAGGTAAATAAAAATAACCTTGACGGTTGAAAGACTAATGTTTTAGGGAGAATGGTTGGTACCTCCTGGTAAATGTGGTTGGGCACGATCTTGGGAAGTTGGGCACTGAAGTTGTTGGACACGTATCTAAAGTATTTAAATATATAAGGTGTTTGGACGAAAACCTAAATCTGTTAATCTAGCATTCGAGGTGTTTGCCAAGTAACAGAGGAAATGGACCGGTTTCATAGAGAGTTGGCCCAGTGACTGTAGAAATGGACCGATGTTGTAAGGTGTTGGTCCAGTGACTGTAGAAATGGACCGATGTTGTAAGGTGTTGGTCCAGTGACTGTAGAAATGGACCGATGTTGTAAGGTGTTGGTCCAGTGACTGTAGAAATGGACCGATGTTGTAAGGTCTTGGTCCAGTGACTGTAGAAATGGACCGATGTTGTAAGGTGTTGGTCCAGTGACTGTAGAAATGGACCGATGTTGTAAGGTGTTGGTCCAGTGACTGTAGAAATGGACCGATGTTGTAAGGTGTTGGTCCAGTGACTGTAGAAATGGACCGGTATTGTAGCGAGTTGGTCTAGTGACTGTAGAAATGGACCGGTATTGTAGCGAGTTGGTCCAGTGACTGTAGAAATGGACTAGTATTGTAGGAAGTTGGTCTAGTGATGAAGGGATGTACCAGTATTGTAAGAAGTTGGCCCAGTGATGAAGGAATGGACCAGTATTGTAGGAAGTTGGCCCAGTGACTGCAGAAATGGACCAGTATTGTAGGAAGTTGGCCCAGTGACTGTAGAAATGGACCAGTATTGTAGAAAGTTGGCCCAGTGACTGTAGAAATGGACAAGTATTGTAGGAAGTTGGTCTAGTGATGAAGGAATGGACCAGTATTGTACGAAGTTGGCCCAGTGATGAAGGAATGGACCAGTATTGTAGAAAGTTGGCCCAGTGACTGTAGAAATGGACCGGTTTCATAGAGAGTTGGCCCAGTGACGGCAGAAATGGACCAGTATTGTAGAAAGTTGGCCCAGTGACTGTAGAAATGGACCAGTATTGTAGGAAGTTGGCCCAGTGACTGTAGAAATGGACCAGTATTGTAGGAAGTTGGCCCAGTGACTGTAGAAATGGACCAGTATTGTAGAAAGTTGGCCCAGTGACTGTAGAAATGGACAAGTATTGTAGGAAGTTGGTCTAGTGATGAAGGAATGGACCAGTATTGTAGGAAGTTGGCCCAGTGATGAAGGAATGGACCAGTATTGTAGGAAGTTGGCCCAGTGACTGTAGAAATGGACAAGTATTGTAGGAAGTTGGCCCAGTGACTGTAGAAATGGACCAGTATTGTAGAAAGTTGGCCCAGTGACTGTAGAAATGGACCGGTTTCATAGAGAGTTGGCCCAGTCATGAAGAAATTGACCAGTATTGTAGCGAGTTGGTTCAGTCATGAAGAAATGGACCAGTATTGTAGCGAGTTGGTCCAGTCATGAAGAAATGGACCAGTATTGTAGCGAGTTGGTCCAGTCATGAAGAAATTGACCAGTATTGTAGGGAGTTGGTCCAGAAGTTGATGATAGGGCTCACCAAAGACAGGAGATTGTTACAAAATAATACTCGGAACTTTATCGCAGTGGAGGATTATCCTGCTGAATATTGTTGTGTGATGTTTTGGCAACATCAATTCTAATGCATCAACATAATACTGATCTGTATAATGAAATCCCCTCATTAGCATTATTATACAGCAGTCATATTAGCTATTCTAATCTTGTTTACTAACCGTGTTTACATTCAGCATCATTAGGACAACACACATATTCCGTTCTGTAGGTCGGATCTCTGCTTGGAAAATTGACGAACTCCGTTCTGAAAAAAAGTAATCCGAAATCATATTAGCCCTGTCAACATTTAATTACACATTGAATAATATCATAGAATTTTTATTTGAAGTATACGGATAAATTTTCTGTATAATGTAATATAGTCTGACTTCTAAAGTATCTAAATATGATTGGAATGTAATGAGTTAATTAAGGGTGTGTAATAAGTCAGTTCTGATTGTGTAGGCCAGATGTGTAATGTATTCCGGCCATTAATGTTCTGTTACAAACAGCCCGCCATTACCTTCCAGCATTTTTACTTTTTCTCTCCAACATAGGACTTACTGAAAAGATTTCAGAACAAATTGGCAAAAGTGCAAAATTTTTTAATTTAATTATACCCTGACAAAATATTGTGAGAGTAATCGATTGTATTCATCTACCATTGAGTTGTTTATAAATAAATCAACATTTATTTCATCATATCAACATTTTCTTATTTTGACTAGTGATTTGTAATCCAGTTTTATAAACTGCGATCTCGTCTTGATTTGTGGACGAAGTTTGGGGGAATATCTGCACGTGCTACCGTTCTTTCTGGAACGGCGGTAAATTGTACCAGTTGTACTTATTATAAATGTAGCGGTGGCACATAACACACCCGATATCAATCTGTGGGGGATGATGTCGGAAAGATTTAAATATGATGCTGAAGATTCCTTTGACATTAAAACAGTCTTACCACTGATGTTTTTCATTTGAAAATAAGATTGGATTTTCGGAAATGCCCTTTGTACTGTAAACAACCTCGGCAAATTAATGTAGAACATGCTTTAAGTTAAGCCTTCAGACGACTTCGACTCGGCCAGCATCAAAACTCCTGCCGATAGGAGGAGGTGTGTTCTAAGTACTCACAAAGCAATTGGAGCAATAAAGAAGTTAGAAATTTCACATTCCTTGTGAGGATGAAGAGGAATCCAATAAATATTCTTGGTACCTCGAGTTTGGAACATCATCAAATAAACACATCCTTCCTGATACATCTGATATAACCTTCATGTGTTTTTGTTGATTTCATTCGAAACCTAATATATATAATAGCACTTAGTAAATATCAAATCAAGAAAGATCAAAATGAAAGAATTTTACCACATTAGCAGCTACTCAATAAAAGATGTTTATCAGACATGCAAAAGTTATAAACGAATCAAGTTCTTGGTGTTTTAAAATACGTTTCTGAATTCTATCAGTTTTATGTTTGAAACTGATAACAGGTTTTGTGTGATTCAACTGGAATTACCTTCAATCCCTGTTCTGTGTCGGATGAAATCTATAACGACATGCACCGTTTTGGAGTATTCCTTTCTATATAACAGTGTACTGTATCGAGGTGTTCCTTACCATATAACATTGTACTGAACCGAGGAATTCCTTGCCATATAACATTGTACTGTGCCGAGGTGTTCCTTACCATATAACATTGTACTGTATCGAGGTGTTACTTACCATATAACATTGTTCTGTACCGAGGTATTCCTAACCATATAACATTGTACTGTACCGAGGTGTTCCTTACCATATGACGTCGTACTGTACCGAGGTGTTCCTTACCATATAACATTGTTCTGTACCGAGGTATTCCTTACCATATAACATTGTACTGTACCGAGGTGTTCCTTACCATATGACATTGTACTGTACCGAGGTGTTCCTTACCATATAACATTGTACTGTACCGAGGTGTTCCTTACCATATAACATTGTACTATACCGAGGTGTTCCTTACCATATAAAATTGTACTGTACCGAGGTGTTCCTTACCATATAACATTGTACTATACCGAGGTGTTCCTTACCATATAACATTGTACTATACCGAGGTGTTCCTTACCATATAACATTGTACTGTACCGAGGTGTTCCTTACCATATGACATTGTACTATACCGAGGTGTTCCTTATCATATAACATTGTACTGTACCGAGGTGTTCCTTACCATATAACATTGTACTGTACCGAGGTGTTTCTCACCATATAACATTGTACTGTACCGAGGTGTTCCTTACCATATGACATTGTACTGTACCAAGGTGTTCCTTACCATATAACATTGTACTGTACCGAGGTGTTCCTTACCATATGACATTGTACTTTACCGAGGTGTTCCTTACCATATAACATTGTACTGTACCGAGGTATTCCTTACCATATAACATTGTACTGTACCGAGGTGTTCCTTACCATATAACATTGTACTGTACCGAGGTGTTCCTTACCATACAACCCTGGTAAATATGGAGGACTTGAAATGAATTAGAACAGGTAAGTTAATAGGAAGATTACTGTGAATATTTTTGTTAGCATTATGCTTTATGTTAGAGGATGGAATTGTTTTCTGACGAATAAGATTGAAATATCTTGAAACTAGGAGACATACAAGTGATTAGAATCTTTCAATAAAATCAAGTACAGAATGGCCATATTATGTATTTTACAGCACCATACACTGGTAGACACTGCCGGTGTACTTGTAGTCCGATGGGAGTCCCTTGACCTATATACTACGTTCATTTTAATGGTTGCTCGCTTCAGAATATACATATCTATTTGACGTTCTTCTTAAACTTTCGAATATGTGAAAATTAAAAAATGTTGAATTATGAGGTTAGTGCATTGAGATTTAGACATTTCTTTAGATCAGTTTAGGTTTTCGTCTATCGCCTCCTATTTTTTAAGAATTTAGACCCTAAACATCATTGACAAGTCCTAAAAGAAGAACAGCTATATAACGTAGTTAAATTCATTAGTTGGCTAAGATACTGGGATTTGATACTGAATCAAACAGCATCATTAAGGTGATTTGTCCTTCTATAAGAATCGTCAGTTATGTTAGAGGCCTGCTATGTACAATGTTTAGTAAAACTGCGAAAATTAACCAATACAAAATCCACCTTTCAGTAAATAGAAAGTCTTGAAAATAATTATTGGGATAGTATTCCCGATGGCAGGAATGTTGCTTTCAACAAAGATATAAATCTCCATCTTATGCTGCAACTGCTTGATATATATTTCAATTTGTTTACTATTTACTAAACAGAAGGCAGGACGCTGTTTTATATATCAAATCCCATACCATCTACATCAGTCTATGTTTTTCTATTTATCACATATATGTAAATGTCTCTGATCGTACAATTGATTGTTGTATTGTACAGTGCCTAATTTAATAAAAAAAAAACCCAGTAGGCTCTATATCAAAGCTGTTATCATTAAAACATATTTGATGTCTATATTTATTCCAGTATACCAAATTTGATGCATTACCCAGTAACGAAACATGACAATGAGGTAATTCGCTGTAATTTAATGGATCACTGGTCCATTGACAAGGGACAAACAAGTTTTCACGAGATCTCACGAATTTCTAACGCAACATAAAATATTTCATCCTTGGGTGGTCATTTCGGTTGAATATATGCAGTAAATAGTTACCATATCTAACGCTATCTATCGACTAGGGATAACGGTTTACCCCTCCGGCCGTTTAAATCTCCTTACTCCCTGCATCCCTCATTATATGCCATCTTTACTCCTATATACAAGGCTATTGATTGGAGCATGAGAGTATCGAATATTTTGATATCCGTAATAGCAGTAACGTCTGAAGATGGTCAGTTGAGATTTGAATCTATCAAGAACTGTCAGTAGTTCTGCAGGAGCTACGGTCATAAGTGTGATATGTAACGACGAAGGAAGCACTAACTACATAAATATGTATATTAGCCATCACCAAGCGTGATGGCAGATTTTCCCCCTGGAATGTAACATAATACAGTCGACTTTTCCATTACACCGAGCACAAACCTCAGTGGACCACCAACAAAAAAACAGAAAGAATGATATTTATTTACAGAATGGATTTCTTTACAGTGAAGAATTGGTGTAATGACTTAATACAGTTTCGTCTGGTGGGCAGGCTTCCTCACACAAATGGTACTACGGGCCACGCCATCAAAGGGGCCAAAACCAGGAATTGAATGGAGGCTACATATGACAAGGGAATGAGACGAGCTTGCTTTATGCGTAGAGCCAGAAAGCAATCTATTGGTTTAGCAAATACACTGAGGACAAAGTAGTGCAATCCTAATCATTACAGCCATAGGAAGATCCTTGATTAATGGCGGGAACAAATAGCGTGTTGTATGGCCACGAGCCATTTAGCTGACCAAGTTCCGTCACGATGATGTTTAAGGCTCTTTGAGAGGGATCAAGTAAAAAATTGACCCCATGACGCTGAAAGCTTTCCTGTTGTTAATGCCATCTGAAATGATATCTCCTACTCTTACATTTCAGTCCAAGCACTGGATTATAAAACACGAAGTAACTAGGCGGATTCCTATTCTAAACCTTACATAACCAGGATCTAACTATACGGATTTTTATTCTAATGCCTATCTAACTAGGATCTAACTAGGCGGATTCTTATTCTAAATCCTACCTAACTAGGATCTAACTAGGCGGATTCTTATTCTAAATCCTACCTAACTAGGGTCTAACTAGGCGGATTCTTATTCTAAATCCTATCAAACTAGGCGGATTCTTATTCTAAATCCTATCTAACTAGGATCAAACTAGGCGGATTCCTATTCTAAATCCTACATAACTAGGATCAAACTAGGCGGATTCTTATTCTAAATCCTACATAACTAGGATCAAACTAGGCGGATTCCTATTCTAAATCCTACCTAACTAGGATCAAACTAGGCGGATTCCTATTCTAAATCCTACCTAACTAGGATCTAACTAGGCGGATTCCTATTCTAAATCCTACATAACTAGGATCTAACTAGGCGGATTCTTATTCTAAATCCTACCTAACTAGGGTCTAACTAGGCGGATTCTTATTCTAAATCCTATCAAACTAGGCGGATTCCTGTTCTAAATCCTACCTAACTAGGGTCTAACTAGGCGGATTCCTATTCTAAATCCTACCTAACTAGGATCTAACTAGGCGGATTCCTATTCTACACCTTATTTAACTAGGATCTAACTAGGCGGATTCCTATTCTAAATCCTATCTAACTAGGATCAAACTAGGCGGATTCCTATTCTAAATCCTACATAACTAGGATCAAACTAGGCGGATTCCTATTCTAAATCCTACCTAAGAAGGATCAAACTAGGCGGATTCCTATTCTAAATCCTACCTAACTAGGATCAAACTAGGCGGATTCCTATTCTAAATCCTACCTAACTAGGATCTAACTAGGCGGATTCCTATTTTAAATCCTACATAACTAGGATTAAACTAGGCGGATTCCTATTCTAAATCCTACCTAACTAGGATCTAACTAGGCGGATTCTTATTCTAAATCCTATCTAACTAGGATCTAACTAGGCGGATTCCTATTCTCTATCCTACGTAACTAGGATCTAACTAGGCGGATTCCTACATTAAACACCAATTAACCAGGTGGAGTCCTATTTTTAAACAGACCTTATTAGGGAGAGAGTCTTACTTTAAATCTGAAACAACAGCTGCTAGGGTGTAGTTCTCCGTGGAATACATGTACGACGACTAATCAAACGTGACGAAGCCAAGTGTTGTTAGGGACAATAGTATCAAAAGCTTAGACTTCAGAGATTTTCCTTTATTTTCTATATTTACGTATTTATTTCTGATGAATGTTTGCTAGGTGATCTGTATCATCATATTACGTGTTTTTGTTTGTTTTGGAAATACAGATAAGACACAAATCGGATCACGTGTACACAGGATATGCCCGACACATCTACGTATCACGTGTATACAGGTTATAGCCGACACATCTACGTATCACGTGTATACAGGTTATAGCCGACACATCTACGTATCACGTGTATACAGGTTATAGCCGACACATCTACGTATCACGTGTACACAGGTTATACCCGACACATCTACGTATCACGTGTATACGGGTTATACCCGACACATCTACGTATCACGTGCACACTGATTATACCCGATACATCTACGTATCACGTGCACACTGATTATACCCGCAGTTCGTTACAGGTTTTCACTTCACATGTCCAGAAAACGAAATCTTGATCTGTTTTCTATTTAAGATCTAGAATTCCGTAAAGATAGCTTGTGTCAAGCTCAAAGTTTATGATAATAAATTATAGCTATGATAATTATTGATTTTTTAAACACCACAAAGTCATTATATGATATGTGCTAATGTAGGTTTCTCCAGGAAGTGTTTCATCCGCTCGTTAGTACTAAACACAAGGACTATCCATCACGTGGACTAGAAATGACTCCATGCACTGCCCATTTCAATAAATCAAAAATGTTTATTCCGCCATCTTCCGTTTGAAGATTCCAATCTGTATCTCACAAATGTCCATTACGAAATGAAATTTCAATTTGTTTACGATAGATAATCTAATCAAGCATTACGAAATAAGATTTCTCAAATCCAATTTCGGAATTTGTCAACGGTTTCCCTTGGGCTGTTTTATTAGACGGTATTTTTCGATAATTATTAAAGTGAAATTTCGATGATCAGCGTTATCAGGCTGACTGAGAATGACGGAAGCCCTAATTAGGCGTTATTGTGTAAACCTATCTACTGTGGATATCAGAAACCTGCCGCCGAGTCGCCATTCAGCTGCACAATTAAATCCAATTGAAAGTAATACGACCGAGGAGAAAGTAAAAATAAAGAAATTAAGCGAAGAGATGTTGCCACGTTAACTACAGTATCGTGCTCATTTAATTATCATGTTAGTGTTTCGATATTCCTGCTTGCCTTTGAGATTGACGGGACTTTTATGACACGTGTTTTAATAACGACTACACATGCACCATCGACGTTCTTTTAATTACATTTTATTAAGATTTTGCACTTGTTAAGTACTGATCAATTCAAAATGACGTGAAAAGTTTAATTTTATCATTTTAATTTTTTGATATTAATATCTCTTTGTACCTTTTTATAGGAATTATCTTGCCGCGTGCGTGTTGGGGGGAGGGAAGTGTTCATGGTTTGATATTGTACTTCCATCTGTCCGTCAACCTTGACCAATGAAATTATTCTGAAGTACAACTCGTGACTAACAGATGTACCTTACCTTAACTTAATTCGGAATTCAGATTCCAGTCTCAAATCTTGGACAAATGTCACTTAAAATTGGGAAAGAAATACATTTTGAGAAACTGTTTTAATGAAACTTAAAAGACAAGCTCCACTGAACGTAGTTTCATGGCCCATATCGATAAAAGTAAACTAAGTGATAACGAAACTCTATATCATTGTAATGTCTTCCTTCCTCCATTACTGACTGTTATTAGGGATATTTTCATCAGTAACGTTTTTACAAAGGCCGAAATGGATACCTACCCTGAACACGATCTACCCTGAACTCGATCTACACTGAACTCGATCTACCCTGAACTCGATCTACCCTGAACACGATCTACCCTGAACTCGATCTACCCTGAACTCGATCTACCCTGAACTCGATCTACCCTGAACTCGATCTACCCTGAACACGATCTACCCTGAACTCGATCTACCCTGAACACGATCTACCCTGAACACGATCTTTCCTGAACACGATCTACCCTGAACTCGATCTACCCTTGACATTACCTACTCTGGACACAAGGTGAGTCGAGACAATTGGATTTGTTTGATAAAGATACCTACCATGCTTGTGTAGTGTACTCTATGTCCATTTTTTCATATGATCCACTTTTATCATGAAAAACAGAAGTCTATATATTCGTGTAATGGACGATATACGTGCTGGAGTTATGGAGATCCAAGTCTTTAATACTGAAGTCTATTGAAATGGAAAAATGGAACAACACGGAAAAATCCATTGATGAAAAAATTCAAGAATTGTGCGAGGAACGTTGAGATTGGGGATCGGTTTTAAATGTTGTGATTTTTATTTCGAGCTCGTTATTGTTGTTTGAGGATTCAGGTTCCTCCTGACGATCATCCAGTGAACCATTGTAATACAAGGTATACCTAGGCCATGTAAACACAGCTGTACAACCTTATAAAGACAAAATCAATACTCCCCACACAGTACGGGTGTGAGGATATTGAAATTCTGAACATTGCGTCTTAGACTTTGGTTAATAACAACGCCATGTATCTTACAAGGACTTCACGCTCTTATAAACCTGCAGGATTCGATACAGAACCAAAAAAGAACGAAGAAATATCCACTACTAACGATCAAATCAAAAAGAAGGGAAAACCCATTTTTGGGCGTTCCCAACTGTATCTACTTTCTTAATTTATTGGGAAATATTAAGTATTTCCTAGGACTTATCGATACATTACGCGGGTTGACAAATATTTACATGGTTAGAGTCGTCCATGAAGTAGAAGATGCTTACCCTTCCGGAACACTTGGTCTCATTCCTTTTGTACTTTTTCAGGGGTCTCTGTGTAAATCTTTATTTTGTTCACTTTTTGTCCTACTTTCATCACACTGGAGTCTAAATTAAAATCCTGTTAACATATCTGTATTTTCTGTGTCGTTTTTATGCCATTTATCATTATTGAGTGAGTTTTTATTTTTGTTTTTCATTTAAAGCCATCTTAAGTGTTTCTTCATTATCCAATACTCCACACTATAACTTTGGTGCCCTGCCTACCTTGGAAACTACCAACAGCTTTAGTGTCATGTCTGCCTTTGAGACTGCCAACAACTTTGGTGCCACACCTACCTTTGACTGCCAACAACTTTGGTGCCACGCCTACCTTTGAGATTGCCACCAACTTTGGTGCCACGCCTACATTGGAGACTGCCAACAACTTTGGTGCCACGCCTACCTTTGAGATTGCCACCAACTTTGGTTCCACGCCTACATTGGAGACTGCCAACAACTTTGGTGCTATGTCTGCCTTTGAGACTGCCGATAACTTTGGTGCCACGACAACCTTTTAGATTGCCAACAACTTTGGCGCCACGCTTACCTTGGGGACTGACAACATATTTGTTACCATGCCTACCTTTGCGCCTACCTATAGAATTCAGTGCCATGTCCCATAATTGTGACTATATGCAAAAATATTGCCACGCTCTTCTTTGGTGACAATATACAAATTGATGCTACATATAATCTTGGACAATATACAATATACTTGTGTGCCACACCCAGCATTAGTATCACGACCTTTCTTGGTATCTTGGTAACTACCTACACATATTTGGTGCCACAGTCTATCTTGGTGAGCCACACCCAGGACCTGTCCCAGTTAGAACATTGGGCCGGTATTCGTCGAATCATAGGCACTCGTTGGACATTCTTGCCGGCCTCCACTCTGAAACATTAAATAAAGTGAAGTGTTACTAGCTATTATACTATCATTCAACGCAATAGAGGAATGTATGGGAGATACACATAATGCATTTACCACAGAAAATTTCATCAATTTGGTTGAAATAGAAACGTAATATAAATCATTCTTAACAACTTTGAGAGGCATTGCTTGTTTCATCGCTATTGTTTTTTATTATCAGGTGGATAAACAGGTAAACCTCTGTAACAGATTCCTATACATGAAAACTACTCAGACTTCACGCAATGCAAGCTTGCATTTAGGTCACGCGTAATATCACGGCAACACACATCCGATCTTCCCATGTAATATATGTATATTGAATACAGCAAGTATTCCAAAATGTTCCTATTTTGTTATTTTGGTCTGTCTGGTGTATCGGACAGTACACAAGATATGACGATACTGGGATATGTTAATATGATAGAGGAATGTTTTCCATGTTTAATATGTATGTATACAATAATATGTTTAACGGTTTAAACAAAAATGGCGTTTTCACTAAGCGGCTGGATACCTAATGCAACGTCTTTTATATTCTACATCAACAATAATTTGAAAATATGTAATCTCTTAATATATGTATTCTCTCTACATCTGTTGGGGTAAACCGTCTATTGATGTATTCGTACAAACGTTCTCTTTGGGACAGTGTAGCGTCATCTAAATGTTACATGTAGAAGGGAAAACTAATACATCCACGTTCATAGCTCTATAAACGCAATCGCCTTTAACGGAAATGTAATTGTAATGGTGTGATCAATGAAATGCGTATTTCAACTTAGATTTTTTTCCCATTTAATTCAACAAATTAATGCCGTGACAATGTAAGATAAGCTAGTGGATCGTAACTACGGCCATGAAACATCAGGGAGGGTTACTATAATTAAATGGAAATTGGATTGTTGGTAGTGATTCTGTCCTATATGCACGCGCTTTTGTAGGACAGAATGCTAGCTACACACGTGACTAGATAAACATCTTCATCTGTTGACTCGTCTGAATCCGCTCACACACTGATGGAATTAAAAGCATTTCCATGGCAACAATAACTTTGACTTCTCTGTGATCAGTTACACTGGACGTCTACCAATTAATGCTACCATTATAGGTTTAATATGAGCTACAGTAATTATCTCCACTAATACTGATTTATAATTATATCAATAGGCAGCATGAACAGTCAAGTTTTGGTTGAAGTCCTCGGTAGAGTGGAACTTTTTTACTGTTCTATTTCCAACACTTCAACAATATAATATAACAATATAACAAAATAAGACCTGCGCAATTGTGGTCTGTACAAGGGTGCTTATAGATAATTTGTTTTGTCTAAATAGTGTATGTATATATCAATCTTATTGAATAATTTGATGTTAAATATTGTTTAAACTAAATAATAATGCATGTGATTTTGATAAGTCAGGATTGTAGGAACATTAATTTCAAAGCTGATTAAATACAAAAAATCCACAAGAATCTATCTGAAGTTCTGACAATGTTTTCATTTAAATTCTTTATGATTCCTCGAGTCTAGAGTACCGTAAGAAACATATATTCCTTGTCTGATAAACAGATGGTTGGTGAATCGGATTTAGTTGGTGTGTAAACCATAAACTCGCCTACACGCCGAATGTATCCCTTTTATCTCCGTCATTTTCAGCAGCAGATTTATTTCAGGGGATTGAAAATAAGTCGGGGAGCTTACAATTTGCCTTAGTATATCCCATTTGTATAGGTTACTGGCCAGTAAATTTTAGTTAAAATACTAGTACTTTTTACTGACTAGTTAATGTACAAGTACCTGCTTACCAACCAGTTAATACTAGTTGATATAAGAGCACCTGCATATAATACGTTGAGATCTAACTGACGGCTTAACGACTTGTTCATGCACAAATACCTCTTACCGACCAGTTAATAGAAATTAATATACCCAAACCTGCTAAACGACCAGGTAATATACAAGTTCCTACTTACAATTATCTGATTAGCGACCAGTTAGTATTGGTTAATATACACATACTTGTTTACCGACCAGTTAATACGCGAGTACCTGCTTACTAATATTTTCCTTCGCCGATCCAGTATTATAGAATACATCGTTCAATCAGCGAACATTCTAAATACTCCTCTGCAGAGGGTTTTAAATCCGTGTTGATGAAAATGCGATTTTTTCCGTCGAATTTAGAGTATTATGTTTTGAACGGGATTTGAATGAGAAACAAGGATTAAGAAGAAAGAAATGCTTGCTACAGTGACTTTAATGCCGGCATACAATCAGAATAACACTGATGTCAAAACGTTGCAGGCAAAACCGAAGTTAGACAGAATCTGTACAACATGCCAGACACCTTGAGGAGTATATGTCGCTGTACCATCAATTATTCCAATGTGTGCACGCAGTTTGGCTTTGTTTCCTTACCGGGTCTTCCCTACACTCTGCTGTAGTCCCGAAGGCCTACTTACAGTTATACACTAAATATTTTATTCATATGCCTCGTGATTATCTCTGATGGCTACATATATCTATCGTCCTGTTTCTGATGTTTTAATCACGCCCGAACCGCCACGTAACTCACACGTATATGAATTAAACATATATTCAGAACAACGACTAAAGAAAGCTTTCAAAATGTCAAATGAAATAGATCTCAATTTCACTTTTTTTCCTTTCAAGTCTAATTACAACTTTCTGTGCCTGTTCAATATTCAACTTGAATTTTAGTTTTATTGTATAAAACAAGTCTGCATCAATTGGGTCATTACTACACTCCATATAAAACTTGGAATGTACATTGAAATCTACTTTTGATTTATTATTTATTTGAAATTCAATTTCTGAACCTTACATCCTGTTTTATCAAACTCTATTTTTAGCTACTGTCAGTTTGTGATATTGACTACGAATTTTCTGATTTCCTACACGTTTCTTATCTAAATATGCTGTTTATTTTGCCTTCAAATTACTTTTTATTACGAAAGAGTAACATATACTGAATTTTAAATAATGACACTTTATAGGGAAATTAATATTTATGAAGCAAACAAATTAAGGATAGAATTATGAATAAGCATTGTCTACATCATGATATATCCGAACTAATTAGTGACCCAAAGACTGAATAAACTCGAAATTACTGTCATAAAACCGCGTGATATAGACACGAAAGTTAAATGTTAAAGGGATCTAATTCAGATATACTATTTTGGATAAATAGTAGTGTTCCAAATTTTAGAGCCGTACATATCTGTGAACTTCTGCAGAATATAGAATATACATGGCTCGACCATTGTTCTTCGGAAAGTTAAAAAAAAAAAAGATAAAAAATGAGAATACGAAGGAGTTCCTTATAAGTGTGTAATTTGATTTCTATGTTGAAAGCTGTCCATACTATGAGATCCCAAGTGTCTACTGGAAAACAAGAGACCTGAATATTTTATTCATGACGATGGTGATCATCTTTGGTAGATAATGCTACATTTGCAAAGTAATTCCACTCGGATTTTACCGTAAACAATATACCGGTACTCAAGGGTTCCGAATAGACAGGCTGTACATCGAGTCTCACTGGGACCAAGATATATAATAAATGACAATCATTCAAGAGCAAATCCTTGGATATTTACACAATTCCTTGGAAACAATTAATCATATTTGACAATTGAAAATAACCGCATTCCGCTCCGAATATCGAAATGGCTAGGCCTGACAAAACGGTTTACGTCTTTAGGTAGTCTGGTGAATTCCTAACGGACATATCAAGTCCATTTACCATGAGCACTTTGCCTTGATCAAGTTAACTAGACTGCTCGGCAAACCCAGTAATTTCCATGTTGAAAACAAACCATGATAGTGTAGGGATAAAGAGAAAGTGCTTTATTGATCGGGGTCGGAAGCCAAAGCACAATGGAGTTTTTGTAACAGTAAAGAAATAACCTTACCGTGCTGAACGAGTACAAAGCTGAGCTTCTGTGAGGCAGGCCAGAAATGTTAAAATTCCAAACACGACACTAAGATGAAATATTAAATTCCAGGTGCCCGATTCCATTGCTTGTGAAGAGTAATTTTCAGTTCATCCAAGAGTTTGTGTGATGTTCCTCATCCACAGAGAGAGTTGCTGCTGTTTGTACTACTGTGTCACCACCGCAGCCCGCCGCCTCTCTCGCACGCGCTCAGTCTGTAAATAAACACAGGAGGATGGTGAGACAGGTTTTGTATCTGTGGTGATGAGAGGGGACTTAACACAGATAGCTAGAGCTTGTCAATATTGAATATTAGTATCACTCATTAAAGCATATTGGATCGATACTGTAAATACGGAGTTGGTGTCCCTTTAACGCTGATGGCCGACATCTAAATCAGGAAAGCTTTTATAAACTTTCACAGGTATACAAAAAATATTGATATTCCTAAATGATAAAAAATTTAATTCGATTGTCGTCACATGGTCATGTTTTATTTATTAAAACTCTGACATTTCGAAGTTTAGAGGTATGAGTACTTCAGCTGATATACAAACTAAACAAGATACGTGTATATTAAATGACATGAAATTATGGAAGCATCAAGTTGATTCGAAACTGAGAGAATCGGAAGCGCTGCTTTGTACAATGTCAAATTAAATCAATTCAACACACATAAAGCTGTAACAACAAAAAGACAGAAAATGGTTCAAAATAACACAAGGCTGTAAAATACACAGAATACATAAGGCGACGGAAACAAGTCTTACACGTGCAATTATAACCGACAACGTCACGTGATTGAACAGTCAACGACAATCTGTCAGATTTAGCAACGTTCATTACACGATGTGTCTGTGCCAAGAGGATCGCAATAATCTGTGTTGGTTTACTAACAGGTGTTAACACAACATGGCTACTCAAATTTTGATTGAATATTAAACAAATCGATATTTGGTCAAACAGCCCGCCAATCAGCGTTATGTTTTATTAGCTTCTAGAGCTGGGGTGCCACCTAGAATGAGGAACCGGAGCAGGGATAATATTCCCGGAGTTTTAATCAGCTCCGCTTCTCAATCGGTGATATCTGTATCGAGTGTCTGACATTAGAATCGTGACTTAGAATAAATGTAGTGAATTCCATGAACAGAGCAACACAATTCATGCATTTTTAAAATATTGGATACGGGAAAAATAACATTGATTTGTTTCATGTCAAGTTCCGAGGGTATGAATGGGACGAGTCCCTTCAATAATTTACAGGAGAAACAAGGGTAACGCCGTTATTGGAAGCTAAGATGAGTGGTTAGATGTCGGGGTAACACAGACATGACAGATGATAAAAAATTACAGAAATGATCTGTAGAACCACGAGCTGAAATTATCTTCCTGTGTTACCAGGTACTGAAATTATTTCCAGTGGTATCCAGGCCTGAAATAGTTCCCTGTGGTACCCACACCTGAAATAGTTCCCTGTGGTACCAAGAACTGAAATGCTTTGCCGTAATACCCATAATTGAAATGATTCCTTGTGGTACCTAGAACTGAAATTATTTCCAGTGGTATTCAGAACTGAAATAGTTCCCTGTCGCACCTAGAACTGAACTGTTTTGCCGTGATACCCAGACCTGAAATGGTTTCCAGTGGTATCCAGACCTGAAATAGTTTTCTGTAGTACACAGACCTGAAATGGTTCCCTGCGGTACCCAGAACTGAAATGGTTCCCTGTGGTATCCAGACCTGAAATGGTTCCCTCTTGGTACCTAGAACTGAAATGGTTTGCCGTGAAACCCAGAACTGAAATGGTTTCCTACTGTACCCAGAACTGAAAAGGTTTCCTACTGTACCCAGAACTGAAATGGTTTCCTACTGTACCAAGAACTCAAATGGTTTCCTACTGTACCCAGAACTGAAATGGTTTCCTGTTGTACTCAGAACTGAAATGGTTCCCTGTTGTACTCAGAACTGAAATGGTTTCCTGTTGTACTCAGAACTGAAATGGTTCCCTGTTGTACTCAGAACTGAAATGGTTTCCTACCGTACCCAGAACTGAAATGGTTTCCTCTGGTAGTAAGTTATGCAATATTTTCCTGTGGTAGTAGGAACTAAGATACTTTTCTGTGTTACCAAGAACTGGTACAGTAATAGGATTGTGTAATAAAGGGAAGGAGGGGGTAAGGAAAGCGACAACACACACACACAAACCCTCACACACACATCCTCACGTGCACATCCTTGTTAAAGATTTTATAAGTGGTCTTGTGTCACACGTGTTGTCCTTTCTATCATCACACGAACATCCTCTACTCCCCTTAGTTCCTAACAATATTCGACCTCATTTATTTTGATAATGAACAGCAATTTAAAAATTCTGCACTTTTTTAACGATAATTTTCGTATTAAGAGATATTTTTAAGAAACTGCAGAGTGCCTAATTATTTTTCCAAATCGGGAATAAATCCATAATCCCATCTAAATGAATAATTGCTAGCCCTCCACCAGATCGAGAAGAGTGCGAACTCCATCACGAACACGCCAATGTGGTTTAATGTTAATGCTGTGTTTCCCTTAAATTACAATGGAGCGGCATTAAAGTCAGCCTGATAGTTACTTTATATTTCTGATCATGGAGTTAGTTTTTTTAGTACACTGATATCGAAGCACTTTATACCCGAAACTTATGAACCCGACTATTTGTAATTCACTGTACACAACCTAATGTACCTCACACTTCGTATCTGACACTATATACCCGACACTTTGTATCTGACACTATGTACCCGACACTTTGTATCTGACACTATATACCCCACACTTTGTATCTGACACTATATACCCGACACTTTGTATCTGACACTATATACCCGACACTTTGTATCTGACACTATATACCCGACACTTTGTATCTGACACTATATACCCCACACTTTGTATCTGACACTATATACCCAACACTTTGTATCTGACACTATATACCCGACACTTTGTATATGACATTATATACCCCACACTTTGTATCTGACACTATATACCCCACACTTTCTATCTGACACTATATACTCGACACTTTGTATCTGACAATATATACCCCACACTTTGTATCTGACACTATATACCCGACACTTTGTATCAGACACTATATACCCAACACTTCGTATCTGACACTATATACCCGACACGTTGTATCCGAAACTATGTATCTGACGTTTTTGAATCCGACACTCTCTACCGTATTTGTTTTTATTTTTTTATAATTTTTTATTTTTCAAGATTTTACATGTTGAACAGGACAAATACACTCACACCCTCTCACACATCCAAACACAGGTGCACATATAGTCATTGTGTGTTAAACAAGAACACTCCATTCAAAAGAATCATCAACATAATCATCAACATTCAACAATGCATGTGATCATTATTATTATTATTATTATTATTATTATCACCATACATGATAATCCTCATATATCACAATCAATATTATTATGTTACACACTAAATAATGCATCATCATCATCATCATCATCATCATCATCATCATCATCATCATCATCATCATCATCATCATCATCATCATCATCATCATCATCATCCTCAAAAACATGATAATCTTCCTCATCATCCATTTCAACATATATATCACAATCAATATTACTATCATGATTATTGTACATACTAAATAATGCATCATCATCATCCACATTCAACAATTCATCATCATCATCAAATCAAGATTCATATTTTCTTAACCATTATGAAACCTTATGATTCATAAATATCACAGTAAACTTTTGTTTGAAATGCGACCATGCACACATGCATAAACACACACACACACAACCATAAATTGACATCAACATACAGAAATGAAGAAATTAAATAGAACTTTATTAGGGATAAGAAATTTAGAGAAAGATATTGAAGAGAAGGAAGAAATAGTAAAGTGGATTGTTGGGTGAGATGGTAAAATAGGTTAGAATAATTTAATCTTTTCATGTTTTTCTTTCTTTATATCTGATTACTCGGTATGGTCAAGGACTGTATATAATTATAAAAAATTATAAAAAAAAAAAAAAAGAGAAAAAAAGAAAAACTAGTAATGCGATTGGTAATAGATCAAAGTGTGTAGATCAAAACTGTATTAATTTTTCCCATTTTTTCCATTCATTCTCAAATTTACGTTTTACTTTATCATCCTTACCATTAGCTATATATTTTTGTATCATATAATTATCTTTGATTGTATTAATTAGTGCATGCAAGTTTAGTGAACGGTGTAAGCATCTCATTTTATAAATATACTGTTTAATAATAATTATAATCTCATTGTCTACTCTGTTACTCGGAAGGAAGTTTTGATGTAGGAGACCAAAAATGAAAGTTTGCTTGTTTACTGAGAAAGGGATAAATAGAGCTTCTAACAAAATATCAAGACTCTGTAATAGTCTTTGTACTTCCTGACATTCCCACAGCAGATGAATGATTGTTTCGCGCTCGGAGTTACACAACACACAAAGAGGGGAGATAACTAATCTAATTTTAAAAAGAAGGGAATTTGTTGCTAATGCATGGTGGATTACCCTATATTGGAACCACTGGAACTTTGTATTTTTTGTTACATGGAATGGCATTAAATAGTCACTTATCCCAAGTTTGTTTATCTATATTATCAAATATACTATTCCATTTTTTGGTACCCGATGGTAACACGTTACATTTAATTAGAGTATTATAAAACCTTTTTGACCCTTTTTTGTTTTGAAGAAAGATACGTAAGGTGATTGGTATGCAAGGATAGATTATAGAGGGGTTAGAGATAGTATCTGATGCAATAAATTTTTTGACTGCAGAGACAAGACCCTGGTATTGTAAAAAAATTGTATTTATTTGATATTTTCGAATAAATTCTTCCCTTCCATAGAAAACACATCTGTTGGTATCTTTGATTAAATTAGCTATAATAGTTATATTCTTCTTAAACCAACTCTCATAAAATACTGTTTTACCTCCTATCTTTATTTTATTGTTATACCAAATTGGGACAGATAATACATTACTCTGAAATAGCTTATCCTCATATTTT